GCTAGGGTCACCTCCCCTATTAGTGCGTTAACACTATTGTTGTCCCAGGACATGCTGCAGTACAAGAAATGAAAAACAAAACAATGATTTAGATAAAATGGAATTCTGAAATCATCACAAATGGTACTAGACCTATACATGTGTATCTATCTTGTAATAATGAAAAACATCATATCATGAATGCATTATATTTTGGACGTTATCATTTTTTGACAAAAAAGGTGGAAAATGATTGTACAAAGGATATTGAGTCGAAAACACATACCCATTCATGCATGTACATTTGAAATTCAATGATAATGATATTGTTCTTACATGTAGGCCTAGGGATCTATAGCTATAATTTAAGATGATGCATGTAATGGAAAACATACCGATTCACAGATTTTGAGGGCTTTGCCTTTGCTGCTTTCACTGGCACGGTAGGCACCACCTCGCCAACCTCCTGTAACAAAAAGATGAGAAAGTAATTTGTAACATTCTGACATTAAAATTTCCACAATTATCTAGGTCTAGAATCTAGTTCAAAGTCATAATTTTGAATGCGCTGGTAAGATTAAGAATAGGGTGTCTGATCGCGCACCCGATGTTGTGTGCTAAAATCTTTCCCATAGAGATTGCACACATCCCTATGTGGTCTACATGCATTGCGCGACCAAGCAGATTTGGTCAATGATTTTATGAAAAATTTGAAATTCAAACCTTTATAACAAATGATCCTGAAGGTGAAACTCAATAAATGTGGTGTCATATGAAAGGGCAGGTTTTTCTCCATATTCCCCATAGGAGGCCACCCCCGGAATTCTAAAAATATCTTGCTCAAAACAGCGATTTAAACATCGTTTCCATGGTAACTCGGAGATTTACCAATTTCACGAACCGCCCCCCCCCCCCCCGAGGGATAAGTTGGGCCAGCTGTAATCCCATGCACTTATTTTTTCTCTAGTCCCAAGGGATCATTTGTTACAACAGTTTGAAAATACCCTTGCTTCACGCTTTGCATATCGTGCTGTGCATTAGCTGTGCAGCTTTTGAGCAGAAATTATAACTCTGCGTGAACCACTTTTCTGTCCATTCTGAAAATGCTATGAATATTGCAGTTTTTGAGGGGCTGTATCTTTTGATAGAAACATCCTTTCAAGAATGAGAGTGAGACTGAGTGAGAGAGAGAGAGAGTGAGCTGTCTGACTCTGACTCTGAGTTGAGTTATTGTGAGGTAAAACCAAACAAACCCTAGCCCTAACGTTAGGGTCTAACTTTTATTTTAGTCTTATTACTATTAGGCTAGCCCTGGCCCTAGGCAGTAGGCTAGCCTAGGCCTAGATCTAGGGTAGCCTGGAAAACATTTGCAAACAACACATTTTCAGGGATGTTTAATTCAGGACACAATTTCAAGGAGAGTAGGCCCGCAATTTTGCACGATCAGAGGCTATTAATATTATAGCCATCAAGACTAGGCGAACACTCACTCAGACAGAGACGATAAACTGGCAATTAATGCACAACAACTTAGCAATGCAATGCAATGCCCTGCGCAATACAGTACAGACGGGACTACCGCACGAAGTAGTAGCACAACTTGTCTCGACCAAGCCACAAAACGGCTTTTATCATCTTTCAACAATTCATTATCCAATTTTAAAACGATTCATGTTATATCCATAGTATAGTTAAGAAACAACAATCGATAAAAGAAACTCACCGAAGATCCACTTGCTTTGAAATTCATGTTTTAATCTCAAAATGTTAGTCTCAGCTCAGTGTTGTTATTGTCTGCGATAGAAATTTTAGACGAATAAAGTTCCCGGGCCAGCTATACGAGCTCTCTGATTGGCTGCTGATTCACTTGGGTTGTCAATTGAGAACGAACATAGATTTGGCCAAAACCCGTTCTAGATTTTAGGGCCTCAGCGGTCATCCAACTGTTACTATAGTAACTTCTCGATTTTGCACACGAACCGCAGATTCTAATTCCCCAATGAGTTTGCGAAAATTGCCTAATATCGTCGTGCGGGGAGGTGAACAGGGTTATCTGTACCCAAAATCATCCCAACATTTTCTATCAATGCTCCAGCTTCCTACCGAAGCATTCAGTCGATTTCTAATCGCACATATCTGCATATCGGAACCGTAAAGCGTGTCTTATCTGGGTCTCTATCGGCTCTCAGAGCACTCTGGCCCGGGGTGCATGAGTGGGGTATAGGAACACTGGAGGAGCTCAAAAGGACTGTGATAATAATGTGGTCAAAAGAGTTTTGTGCCAAAATTGCACCTTCCTAGCTGGCACCCTTTCAGCTTAGCTTAGGTTCAAGGCAGTGTGAATACTTCTGTGAGTCTAAACCTGCCAAAGAAAACAAGATTTACTGGGGCCTCATATTTTACACAGGAGTTCTTTTCACCTCTCTCTTTCTCTCTGTGTCTGTTTCACCCCCCCCCCCCCCTCTCTCTCTCTCTCTCTCTCGTTCTCTGTATCACGGTTTCCAAAGTAATTTCATACCTTCTGACAAATGTGATGAGTTATGAGCCACATTGAGTAAACCTAAATAAATAGTCATAAATCATCTCTACTTCTATAGTACATCCCCCCACATGTATTTTCCCAGAAAGTTGGCTAAAATTCTTCTCCAGGCCAAAATTTGCATTTTTGCCTATGTTCCTGTAACACTTCAAACAGTGCATAAAGACACAGCACAGACTCGTTCACCTTTTCCGTCTGTCTCATTCATTCCATTCCTTCTACCCCCCCCCTTTCTCTCTCTCTCTCTTTCCCTATCTATCTCCCTGCAGACGAGGTGCATACCCCTGTCAGGTTCAACTTGGTATATTTGATGCCGTTTGGGGGGTCAGGTTCTGCTTTTACAACTCGAGGCAGAACAAACATGATCCTGCCTACCCTTTGAAGGAATGGCAGACGAAGGAAAGTCTGAGTGTAAGATTACCTGGGAATGGACCACGAGGTCGAGAAAAAAGAAAGGATCTGAACTTGTGATCATTTCCTACCAATTATCACTAGGCCTGTCCTCATTATCTCGAGATTGCCCAATATCCAGCTATTTGAACTATCCCGATCGCAAACTATCCAGCTAATTTTCGTCAGACCAAAGTAGCAATTAGCAGGATATTTGGTCAGGATTGTTCTCCCGAGATATCTTGGGATAGTTTGCAAAAGTATCCCACTATTTGGCAAAATATCCAGCTATTTGTCCTGTGCGTCCTCACCAGACCGTAGACTCGCCCTATGCGCTAAGGCTGAGCAAAATATCTCGAGCTAATTTTTCAAGGTCGAGTTTCAAGTTTTGAGGTCGACTCTCGAGCTGATGAAGACGTGATTTGTTACTTCGGGATTATTTCCCAAATCAATAATAGCGGGCTATTTGGCAATCTCGAGCTAATGAGGACGCGCCTACTGACAGGACCTCCATTGCCCCACAAAATACCCCACCCCTCTCCTCCAGATTCATTCTATAGCTATCTCTCTTTCACTTTCTTTCTCACTCTCACTCTCTCTCTAGACTCTAGTATCAGTCTCGAATGAGGAGACGGTTTTTACTAGAATTCCTTATATGGGTATAGTGTGAGGGCAGGAGATATTTGTAGTTTAGGGTTTCCAATATCAGTGCAAAGGAAAGGATCCTCATGGGTATGGTCTAAATGCCCCTAAATTTACAGAGGTAGGAGTAGGCCTACATAATATACAAGTAGATGTAGGGCCTACAATCTACATGAAGCTTTATCTCTGAAGAGCTACATGTACTGTACATGTACATGTTGTAGCTACCACTGACATGTACATTACATGTACTACTATATATTTGTTATGACCTATGAAAATGTACAAGTAGCTACAGTTCCAAAAGTATGTTTGCATTATGCTCAAAGTTTACATAACATCCTAAACTAAACGTAAGATTTTAAAAAGCTATGAATTTACTTGTAAATATATGAACATGTACCATGTGCTATGAGTTTAAATTGCATGAACAGAATGTTCAACAATGTTATTTAAAAACTGATGTCTTTCTGGTCATTCAAAATGTAAAGCTACACTGTACATGTACATATATCTCAATCAGTGGATACTACAGTACACTAAAGTAAAGTTTATATTTAAAGGCCTGATACATTGTATATTCATTTTAATAGTTAAAAGTGTCACCCATCATAACAGCAAAGTTTAGGACCCTAACTTCAAGAGTGTTTTAAATCAACCTGTGTTTTGAATCAACCTGTCTAGTAATTCTGGGAAAAAAGTATCTGTCTACATGTATTTCAGAATATGTGTGAACCTTTCAGATCAATATAGGGAAGGTGTGAGTATGGGAACTGCTACATGAACTTACTCAAAACAAGCCACCACCAGGTACTGCCCGTAATTGTTTTCAAATATGTGTTATTCAACGTGATTATTTTCCCACAATTGAAATCCCAAATTTGCCCATAGTATGTGTATTGTCTGTTGTGGGAACTCGCTATCTGCATATGTTTATACTTACTTCTAACTCAACAACCGGGGTACCAATGAGCATGGAAACAAAACTTTAGTGGGAACGTCATGTTGAAAATAATAGTGATAGAGAACACATGCAAAAAATGAATTGGAGAATCAAAGTGCAGTGGTACATGTAACTAATGCATTGATCACACTACCATATTATTTATACCAATTCAGGTTGCTCTCACAAGGCAACTTTCAACAGTTTGAACTTCAACAGAAGTTGACCCCTTCAAAGATAATTTATATAATTTTTTTTTACATGTAGTTTTATCACTGGATTAACCACTGACGTACTGTTTCGTTTCAATAATTATCATCAACTTAACATGCACTAAATTGTATTCAATCAAATTACATGCATGATATTTTTCTGTTTGTTGGGCTACTTCATTTCTTCTTTTCCTTTTTGGGAGGGGGGGGGGGGGTGGGTTGAAATATAAGACAAGAAAGACAAACAAAATTCATTTAAACATAACAGAAATTTGTAAAGTTGACATCTTCTTACCTTTTCTCACATGGTGGATAGGATTCCTGAAAAGCGGTAACTCTTCTATTCTATAGTCAATTGTTGTTTCATATTTTATGCTAAGAGGATTTGGGGCTGCTTCAATGTAAATTATTGCTTTTCCATCCTTGGCAGCAAAGCAGTGCTCCTCTTTAGGCGAAGTTCTTTCATACTGAATTCTCTCTAAAATATCATGCACATGCACCTCCTTCCCGAACGTGTTCCTTTCAAACTCGGGCCTGTCGTCCAGCAGAAGCGGCATTAATTTTCCCGGCGTCTCCCGGTAAATGTTCGCTCCGTTACCACGGATTTTAATGTTCAAACAGAGGCGAAAGTGCTCTTTGCTTTTCCCGTTTGAGAACGTGATGTGAAGGGCATTTCTCGGGTAGGACCACGAGATATGCCCACTTTGGCAGTTTATGTTGAGTTGTTGTATTGAACGCTCACCCGCATCGATCTCCAGACCACTGCAGTATAGAAAGACCAAAAGTGAAGAAGGAAAGAAAAGAAAATGTGTGTTAAAAAGAGTGGATGAAAGTACAAATTTTATATGATAATTATAACTCATATGAAATGAACAAAAAATAATAAAACATCAATCCTGAACAACTCTTCAATCTACTACACATATATTTATACATGTAACTAAAAAAATCAGAACTACAAATAGAGTTGACATTAGATGTATTGAAAATAACAATTGACTCATTTTACATATACAAAATCATACTGTATCTTATTTTACAGTCAATAACACTGTAGAATGATTTTTGTCACAGTCAAGCCCTTCAAGTGTTAAACTAAGATTTTCAAAGGTACATGTACATGGTCCCTGAGCTTAATACCCATGAAATCTTGTTGGGTATTTCTTTTGAGAAGGCATCAAAATTCACACTACAGGATTATCCCAAAACCCAAGCAGTAAATGCTCTCCTTATTGTTATCTATCAAGAAAACGTTTAATGAAGTGTGTGCTTTACACTTCAATCGAGGAAGAAATGTTGTTAATTGACAACTGCTTCAGGCAGGCTCAAAGTGAGACAAAACCATTTCAAAATGAAACAAAAAAGTCAACTCTCTAATGGGTTCGAATCTAAAAATCAGTATTATTCTCTCCTTCCTTCTCCAATCGTCTATTCATTTCTTGCCTGTTTGTGGCAGGCTGGTGGGATGGCATTCAAAAGTCAAGCAAACAGTGAAAGCGTGCAATTATAAGCGATTGTTGAATGGATCGGAGGGGTTCCTGAACGACCGGCACAATGGGACCTACTGGTGCACAGTTTGAAATCTGCTAATTGTCTACGAACTCACTTGTTGCGTAACTGAATAAATGGCCAAGAGACATATTTACAGTGCACAAGCTGTTGCTCGTGGGGGATGAAAAGCAGAGAGCAAACATCGCAACAGGAGCAGTTGACACAGCTTTAAGCATTTTATTTACAGCCAAAAGAATTGGGATTTGTAAAAAGGAATCCTAAAAAGGGCTGCTGGTCCAACAGACCCCAGAGCTTTGAATGGAGTTTTGGCAAAGGGGGTTGGTCCACTACTTCATTACTATTTGCCCTGATTGAGCCCTATTCTACTAGCTGACCAATTACCTTTTTGTCCCAAAGACAACTCCTTTGGAAGAAGGAATAGTTGAGCAACAGGTGCCATAGGTTTCAAATGATGTTTACTGCACGATTTGACTCTAACATGTCTATTTCCTCAGTCAAATCAAAGAATGGAGTGTCACTTTGTAGCTTTCTGAGAACCTTCCTCTCTGAAAACCTTTTTGTTCAGGATGGTTTAAAGTGTATGTTTGAAACATAATCGTATCCTGACGAGGTCATTATAACTTTATATGTAGGGTCACTTTTACAGATAAAATATGATATATAGTTGGATATATTATTGCAAAATAAAGAATAGGATTAGCAATTTGTTTAAAAATATGACCCTTCATGATTGACCTTTTACTATATATTTATTTTCAAAACATGAAATATGTATAGAATATCAGAGGTCATAGGAGAAACCTTAACTACAAGTTTTCAAATAGGGATAAATCACTAGGTAGATGTAGGTGCACATGCTTCTAATGCTAGGAAAATATGCATGTAAAGTACATCAACATGTCTTTCTGAGGCCAACAGAACACACGAGGCAATAAGATACATATCTGCATGCTTTCTGAGCTGAGTTGAATGACAAACAAGTTTGGGTTAAAAAAAGGAGAAGCAAAAATACGTTTGGCAAAAACAGAGAAGTGCCATTCCTTAAATAGTTATGGTAGACTGAGCTTCACCCACGCTTAACAGTTTGAAAGAGCAGTCACAACAGGAGTGGTGCATAGAGGAGCTAGAAATGTAAATACCTGTCTGTTTACATTAATATACCAAAATCATTTCCCCTTGAAGCCTGTGATATATATGGTGATGCTTGGGTAGAGAGCAAGCACCCTCGTACACCCTCAGTCTGCCCAGGTGACCCTTATTGGTTGCGACTTGGAGCCTGGTGAAATTCAACAACCATGACTAGCTGAAGAGCCAAAAGAAAATGAGGACAAAATTTGCATCCCATCAGATTATTATGGACGGGTCGAGTCTGGGTTTAACAAAATTATTGTTCCTTCCGCGAAAAAAGGAGGAGAATTCATCATTTCTATGATACATTTATGTACATGTACTCCAGGGCTGGGCACTTACACAACAGACCTGGCACACAAGGGACATTCTGGACCCTTCAAATCTCTCAATTTGCACAGAGACCCAGCATATAAAGAATATTTTATATTTACCCATTCAGTCAATATACACAGATGCATCTAAATTCTGAATTTGGTCTATACCCACACCTGATGGCTCTTTACATTGATGGCTATGAGTTCAGAACAGAGATGTTGGTTTAATTATAATTCAAAAACATACAATTTAGTAGAAAGTCAGCTAAATCTAAACATAAATGTACCTGAATAATCAAATCCTTGCAAGTTGTATGGAAGACGGAAGTACAATGTATATCTGTATACCACATTAGGTCTACTTTAGTGTACATAATAATATATCTTCCACTTTTCCTCACTGTCGAAATATAATAAATTTTTCATGCCTAATTTTTCAAAATGTGTTTATTCAACAGCGCTTGATTAGCCCTAGATAGACGCAGAAATTCCTAGCTGCACAACAGCCCCTCATTCAAACCCCCCACGCCTGACCAAACCCAGTCAAGTCAAGTTCGAACACTCAATTAAAATACAAACTCTTTTCTCTGGATCTCAGTTATTGATGAAAGGCAGAGGAAAATGCCGTTTCCTGCTTACCAGAAACTCATAATGGGAGCAGACCCCCTTTCAATGGAGCATATTTTTGAGTCTCTAGACAAACAACGAAAATAGAGACACATGTTGAGTTGGTGGTTCTGTAGTATTGTACTTACAAATGTAGTTGGAACTCGGAAAACAAGTCAGGTCTACATCGTTAAAGAGAAATTTGTAACCAGGATTCCAGGACAAATTTAATTATAATAAATTTCATTCTTGAACTCTCTTATCAATAAAACTGTTCAAGATGAGATCTTAATTCCTTCACCCAATCATTTATTGTCAATATTATTACAAGTTTACAATGTATCTCACCCTGGACCGTATAGGGTCCCTGATCTCACCCAAGTGTTATTAAGTTCTCTGTGATAACCACTAGATCTCACTGGAAACAGAGACAACACATGAAATGCTGCAATCCCTTAGCTTTAAAATTTATGTCTTAATCATTACCGGTATTTTAAAAGAAGATATTAAACCAAGAATGGTATTAACAGATAGTTGAAATATATACATTGTTGCTCTAAGTGATTCCATTTCGATCTGGTTGGATGATTGCCCTCTGTGACTTCCAGACAATATCATTTTCTGCTTTTATATTACGACACACTGTAGTTTATTCAAAAGCTTTATAAGGTCAAATGGTCATCTACATGTATAATAACAGACACGTTCGCAGTCACAGGTGAAAAGCACTTGTATTCCTAACAAATTCCTCTGCAAAAATGGATTTTTTCTTTCTTTTTGAGGGGGGGGGGGGTATTCGGTTCTTAGAAGTTCATTTTAGAAATAAAGCCCCAGGTGATATTTGAAGCTTTTCAAATTGATTCTGTCATAAACGGGACGCAAGGTAATTTTTCTTGATGCTGGAATTTAGAGAGGAATGATGATTTGAAGGGGCTCCCATACAAAGTTTCAGAGTTATTTTGGGAAAAAGTTTCAAATCTATGGAAAAACATACAATTAATATTAAAGTGTTTTTTGACAGTGATAATGGCAGTTCAGAGGTACTGCTAGGCTACTCATAAACCTACATGTTAATGTAGATAAAAGTCAATATTTGTAATCAAAACTCTTGCTTCATGCATGTACCTGTAGGTCCTACATTTGCTTTTAGTTAGTACATGTAGATGTACAAGTTGTCCTACATGTACGTGTAGGCAACATATATTCCTTCATTTTTACATAGTACTGTATGTATTTCTCATATTTAATTATCCTATACATGTTTCTTGTTTAATCAAATGTAAAACAAAAAAAATTCATCTTTTAGGACAGTACTTTTAAAAGTACACAAACTGCAGAAAGTGTGAATAATTGAACCACTTTGTCATCATTTAATTCTGACAGTCTCTGCAACGTGAAAGCTCTCATCTTTTCAAAGTATTTAGCTTGCCATACAAAGTTAGTAATAAGTATGCTACGACTATCTTGTACAATATGTACATGTAGGCCTTTATCACACCTTGCCACAGCCTGCCATAGCTCCCAGCATGCCGCTCCACATGTACATGTACAATGTAGGCCCATGTGTGCTGTATTTAAACAGAGTGGCCCATATACAATCATCCGCATACAAGAACTTTGATCTTTGTACCTAGCAGACTGGTCGTATATTAACATTAGTACTCTTCAGAAGCAATATTTTCTCAACTACATATTGAATTATTGGGTGGTATTTATTACAAGTATGTATTACAACTATGCCAAACATTTACCGACATATAGTGCCCAAATACACACGGATGAGCAAAGTGTCCCTGGAAGTAAGTACATTGTTAATTTAGACCAGTTCACACATGAACTTGCAAAAGTCTATTGTTACACTCATTGTAGACAAAGCATGTGTAGGCCTATGGCTATACATGTACATTATAGGTACAGTAATTAGGGATTAATGAAATCCTGATGAAAACATAATTGTAACTTACTGTACAGTACATGCACATGTATAGTATCTATATATGATAATACATTTACATGTACTTGTCAACTTTTTATCTGTAAAAGGCCCCAAATATATCTGTAAATAATGTCATGGATAAAGCTTGATAGCAAACCAAATGTTTAAAAGTATGTCCTCATTTTCAGAGTTTAATATCTATTTATGCACACACTGAACCCTGTGAGCAAATTTGTAATAAATAATTCTTCATGCAACCATTAAAAAAAAAATCAACATTGTGCTCTAAACTAATAAGTATATGCCTGAGGCATGTATCCTATGTGAGATTGATCACAAAGAGCATAATAGTCACATGATCAAAAAACATTTATTTTGAGGAATGTGGAAGTGATCTCACATCAATGGACAAAAAAGTCTAAAAAGAGCTTCATATTGTTTGCCGAGAGAGAGCCAAAATGGCATTTATTGGGACTCATTCAAGGTGTGCGTCTCAGTAGAGAGTTAACGCCCTTCTGGCCGTCAGTAGACAAATGATAACGCAGGTAATTCTGAGTGGAAACACACCTTTTCAGGAACCGAATGAGACACAATTGAGATTCTAAAACCCTGTGGGCAGTCCTACAGCATGTCTCCAGAATGATGTTTATCTTACCCAGTCTTTGTACTCAACTTCACAACGGATTTGCGCAAAGAATATACATACAACAGACAGGCAGCTAACATTCAATGCATGCACACAACCAACGGATTTCACTGTATAAAGTTTTCTAGCATCCACACGCAGTCAGTGTTTGATGTACGTAATATTAAGGTACAACCTGCAGCAATATGTGCTCATTGTTTTCTAAGTCATCTAAACAAATCCGCTTGAACTTTAGCTGAACTAACAAAGCAAAGTGAAATAACAATTAATCCACTACCGGATAATGCTTGAAATAAAGAACTTGGGAAGTTAGCACAAGCCTACATTTATATGCCATGCGAAAACAAACCATTTAAACTTGCAGTATACTACAGTATTTAAGAGCAAACAATGTGATATTTCAATGGGTGTACAAAGGTTTTAAAAACGAGCTCCTTTTGTTGAACTTTACCATGAACCATTGATACATGTATGCCATTTACTATGTTACAATATCTTTAATAGAATCACTGGTCATGGGCTTCGTACACCCCTGGAAATGAATTGAAACAGATCCGAGATTTCAAGCACGGAATCCTTGTTCCACCAGCTACCAGTACCAGAGTTCAGTAACTTCAATTCATCATTACAATTCTCTAGCCAAGAAGACATACAAGATACAGCCCCAGTCCACTACCAGCAAGTACAAGTTTCAAAACTACGCATTCCACATTGTAACTGTAACGATAGCTCATTAATCTCTGCCCCTTTTCACTTCTCCCTCGTTTTCATAGCGCAGCTGCACCTGTGTTCAAGACCCCTTCCATGACAATTGAATATTCTAAACCATTATACTGTCTTCTAATCTGATTTGCGGCTGGAGTAACAAAGCAGCATTCAAATTAGTCTAAAATTAAGAATATATCCTACAACAGAAGCTCCAGGGAAGCAATTATTCCTCTTCTACGACCCCCTCTTAAAGTCTTAGCTGAAAATTTCCTATTTTGCTCATTCAAAGGGAATTAAAAGATAATCTTGGGACAGTTGTCCAACAAATATCAAAGGTAAGTAAACAGATCTGGCCAAATTAAGGGGATTTTTCTAGATAAGCAGCTAGATGAGAATGCTTCCAACAGAGTGAGAGGATTTTTCCCTTTAACCCCAAACCCTAATCATCCTAATACTATTAGCAGTGTATAAACTCAAGGAGGTCTCATCATCATCTCATGTTTTGTATCAGTTTGAATCTTGAGTTTTGTTTGTCCCCCAAGAGTCTCCTTGATAGCTGTTCAGGGTGAATTGGGGGCTCAGACGATCATTTAATAAAAGAGGGTTTCTACTTTCTTGTAATTATTTTCAAGATGCAAACGAATATGTCCGCTAATTACAAGGTCGCTTTGTTAAAGTTACTTTAACAAACCCTTGAAATGCATATAATTCAGCTTCATTCAAAACATCTTTGTTCTGTTGTTGAAGATGGAGAATCAATAGAAATAAAGTTAACAATAAATAGTGTATGAAATACAAAATACATGTAGATACAAAACAATGGACACTAAATTATCATTTTCTAGATATTATTTTGCCAAAAGTATTTGTAAATCACTTCATTGCCTTGCTTTTCAATGTTGAATAAAAACAAAAGTCATACCCTGAATCCAGTATAAATTTACAGTTTTTTAAATGAAACAAAATAAATTTACTAGAAAGTTTTACAAGGAAGTAAAATCAGAATTCTTTTCATAAATTTCAGTATTTCACAACTGAGAGAACCATTTCATTAATATTTCATATTCTTGTTTTAATATCATAATAGATTAAATTTCGTAAAATCAAACATTTTGGTAAGTTGGTATCATTCAAAGAATGGATGAATACATTTGAAATTTAAGGTATTAAACACAAAAATATCAGTTTTAATTTAGTCAAATATAAAAGAGAATAATCAAAATAGTTTTACAAACCTTCCAGTCCAATTACACAAGTCATTTTCTAGACCATGGGCAGAAGATGAAAACAGCAACAATGTTGTGGCAATTGCCAATAGTTTTTGTATGATCCATCTCGACTTCCCATTACAATTCTCCATTGTACAACAGCCTCCATTCGCAGCGTCTCCAAGACGATTGTCTTCTCGAGGTCTCACGTCATGCAACATTTTTCTTTGATCCCTTCCTTATCCCGACACCATTTTAAAACAGTTGTTCTAACAGTGACAGGTCCAAATCCTGACAATCAAAACACGGGAAGTCTAAACTAAAAATAGCGTCTTCGAAGATTCCTGAAAACTTTCGGAAAACGTAGTTCCAGACGATTGTAATCTGAGCCGAGTTGTGCGAGTCACTCGTATGCACCGCGTTGTGTGGATCCAGACGACCGACTCGGTTCCACGCCCGCGAATGGGCCACTGGTAGAGGTACAATGTACGTGGTACCCGTGGTAGCGGTTCGGAACAACTCCTCTGAACTTCTCACCTTGAAATATACTTAAATTACTCCTTAAATGTTAGTCCTTCAGCAGCTTATGTTCCTCTAACCGTTCAAAAATCAATGCTTCTATGTCCTTTCGGTATCAGATGAACTCTTTAATCACTTTAAAAGGTTGGATCGAGGAAAATAATGACTAGATTATTAACCCAACTTGCGAGTGGTGCACCTTCAATGCGAACCCCGTTGAGGAATGAACGCCAAAGTTGCACTGGCTTCGCACAGAGCGTGCGTGACGATACTGGTAGAAAGGTTGCTGTTGTTGTTGTTTAGTGCTATCGGCGTCCTTTCGTTGTGTTTTATAATGTTTATGCTCTTCGAACTTGTTTAGATATTTTATACCACCACTGTTTATATATGTATGTTTCGTTTAAATTTTAATCAATTAAACACAACATGCTATTGTTCCTTAGCTCATATATTGTAGGTTAGGCTGAATTTATCTTGTTTTCAGAAGAAGAAGGGAAAAATTGTTTTGTTGCTTCTTTCTCCCCCCCCCCCTCTCTCTCCCTCTCTCTCCCTCTCTCTCTCTCTCTCTCTCTCTCTCTCTCTCTCTCTCTCTCTCTCTCTCTCTCTCTCTTCTATGAAGAATGTATATAATCTTCATTGGATGAATGTTTGCTAACATGTATTTTTTGATTGGTTGATGTAAAACTACAAACTTTCACTGCCTCCTTTTTTTTTTTAATCTTCATCAAAAACATCAGTGAAGCTGATCCCGAGAAGAGTCATGTTTGATCGGGAGTAATCATTATTTGTTAGAATTCGACATGTCTCTTGTTTCAGTCCTTGATTGAAACCAAAGGCAGAGAGAAGAAATATGATGATGATGATTGTCACTACATCAGGATGTAGTGAAGAAATGTGCATTTCTTATATAGTTTGAAGAGTCTTATTATGAGACTACCAGTGTCTTAATATGCCTACCAGCATATCTTGGGGGCTACTGTTTACTTTAAGATTATACTATGAGTCACAGAGACAGGAAGTTCTTTGTTCTTCTCCACCTATGTTCTGGGAGAAGCAAAGCCCAGTCATTCTGAATGTCGAAGTGATGCAGTAAGGTCCGAGTTACATAACATTGCAGCAGAAAGTTTTTAGTTATTTTGTGGAACAAACTACAGGCCCAATTCGGTAAGAATACGATATCTATTTCTATATATGTTATTTGATATATACTAGAATGCTAGGATGTATCTTAATATAATCTCAGTTGAGTTTGGTAGAATTTTATAGGAGTTTCGTAAAGATGATGTTAGATGTTGTACCTAGCTTTTAGGAGTAGACAAAGAGATGAGTGTGTATAATGTATAGTGTAGAAAGCCGAGTTCTTTGTCTTTGTCAGCAGAAGTTACAGTACATTTAAGTGTTTTAAAGTAGCAAAGATTCTGCTACTATGTAGATGATAACTTGTTTATTATATATATAGTTCATGTCGAATTTAGAGCAAAACTAAGTGTTTGGGAAAGAAACAATTTTCTTTGTTAGTTATTTAGCACAGGAACTTAAGTGACGAACCGCATCTAAATGCGGCCCTGTTCACACTCATGTACGTTTGCTTGTGTGTACTGTTTAATAGTTTACTGCATAGTTTCAATGCAGGGTGTGTTCACATAGATATTTAATCCAGTTTAACTTTAATCTTGTGTCATATATTAATGTGTTGTAATCAGTATCTTTAATTTAGCTATAGGGTTTTTATATGCTTACATGCTGAAACATTTATTCATTATTTGTTTGTTTGTTTATTATCATTACAGATTGTTATCTGAAGGTTGTACCGAAGATATGAAAGCGAAGTTACGAGTTGCTGAATAAAACAGAAGTTGGTTGGACTTTAGCAAATTGTTTCCAGTGTTAATTTTCATCGGTGTGCCTTGTGAATAACAACAGTTGGATTTATTGTTAGACGAAACTCCTTCATATAAAGATTTATGAAGGCAGCCACAATAACAATCGAAGTCTGTTATTCGAAGTCGAATAACAAGCGAAGTTCCACATTAATGAAGTTCGAATAACAATCAAACAGCAATAAGACTTTTTGCAGCCGTTTAATGAACTTGTAAGCAGACCTAGGTTTATAAAGGCCTGAAGTCATGCCTTTATCAGAGCCTGCATTGCGACGTGAAACGACAACAGAGAGGACTTCCAGATCGAAGGCTAGGAGTCTAGCCGGTGTTAAGTTCACAAAGATCGATGTGGAAGCAGGACAAGACGACGCAGCCATGAAGGCTGAAAGTGTCGCGAACTCACGGATGTCTCGTGAGAGTGCGAGGTTGAAAGAAGCCTTCCAAGCAGAACTAGCTGTCATGGACCAGGAGAACAGGCTGGATGCTGTAAAAATCCAGATAGGGGAACAAAAGCAACGACAGGAGGACAGGCTGAATGCTGTAAAAGTCCAGATGGAGGAACGAAAGCTACGAACGCTGAAGATGAGAAAGGAGGTGGCTGCTAGAATAGTGGAATTTGAAGGAGAGGAAGAGAGTGATGGCTCTGAAGCTGCCATCGAACATATTACATTGCCACAGGAACAGCCAGGGGATTCCGTCCACAGATTCTTCGAATCTCAGCAAGACGTGGCAATTGGCACAGCAACTCCTCCTCTTGACAGCACCTCTAACCAGACAGGGTTTGAAAAGATGGCAGAGTCGATGACTGATATGGCAAAGGCCATTATGCAACAGAACATGACCACACAGAGACTTGCTGTTGCTAGTCAACTTCCAAAGTTAGAGATACCGGTATTCAGTGGCGATCCTTTACGGTACAGGCTATGGAAAAATGCCTTTTCAAACTTGGTGGACTCCAAACCCCTCGACGGAGCTACCAAGCTGAGCTACTTGAATAGCTACGTAGCAGGAGAGCCAAAGAAGGTCGTAGAGCACTACATCTTGCTGGGCACAGACGAGGCATATTTCCAAGCCACAGAACTGTTACAAAAAAGATACGGCAGTGGCAGTATTATCAGTACAGCATTTTCGAAGAAGCTGAGCAGCTGGCCACGTATCTTCGACAAGGATCCTGGAGGACTCCGTCAATTCTCAGACTTTCTAGAGCAGGTGGTATCGGCTAAGTCAACGGAGTCATCCTTGGGGATATTGGACTATCCTCAAGAAAACATAAAGATGTTGAACAAACTGCCCCTACATCTAGAAAGGTCATGGCGGGATGAGGTAAATAAATGGCAGACAAGGGGTCTTGGGAACTACCCTCCATTTGAAGTCTTTGCCGAGTTTGTCAGCAGAGCCGCCAACAAGGCCAACATCCCTGAGCTAGAGGGTCTGCGAAGTGGTGAGGCACGACCAAGGCAGTACGAAGGTGACCGCAGCAATCGAAGTGGTGAGGCACGACCAAGGCGGTACGAAGGGGACCGCAGCAATCGCAACCAGCCGAGAGGGAAGACCTTTGCAACAAATGTATCTTCAAAGACAAACGTGGGAGAGTATTCCTCATGTCCGTACTGTGGGAGAGAGCATCACTTGGATGACTGTCACGAATTTACAAAGAAATTGTTACATGAAAGGAAGGGTTTCTTCTTTCAAAAGAACTTGTGTATGGGTTGCGGCGTTGCTGACAGTCACCAGGTCAAGGACTGCACTCAGAGAAAGGTCTGCAAGGTATGTGAAGGGCGCCACCTTGCCTGTCTGCATAGACCAAGGAATAACCAGAGAAGGCCACACGAGGAAGGCTCATCCAAGTGCACCAACGTATGCTCTCTTCCAGATCAAGATGGCCAGGAGCACTGCATGATCGTGCCAGTCTGGGTGAGATGCAAGGACGAGCCTTCCCGGGAGTTCCTCCATTACGCCATCCTAGATGATCAGAGTAATGTAGGCTTCGTTTCGGACGAACTGTGTGAACAGTTAGGAGTACAGGGAACTAGTACCACCCTCCGACTCACCACCATGCACGCAACGGCCAATGTCAAGAGCATGAAGGTGAACGGTTTGCAGGTGCTCGACTTCAATAGGGAGAATGAGATCGACCTACCCCCGTGCTTCTCTAGAGATTCTGTTCCTGCTAGCAGATCCCAGATCCCCAAGATTGAAGTCCTGAAGGAGTGGCCTCATCTTGAGCCAGTTGCTCATGAGTTGATGCCATACAACAGAAGCGTCAAGGTATCGCTCTTAATTGGAAATAACTGTTCCCGAGCCATCCGCCCTCGAGAGGTGATAGCAGGAGGAGAAGATGACCCGTATGCCATGAAGACAGCACTTGGATGGGGAGTAGTTGGCAAGGTATGCCAGACGTCAGTACAGGATGATGGAGTCCTGATCTGCAATAGGATATCTGCAATTGAGAGGCATCCAAAGTTTGCCTATGCGAGTAAGGCCAAGGAGATCCTGGACACTGAGAAAATCATACAGATTCTGGAACAGGACTTCAAGGACTCGGGTGCTAATGGTGAGCCTTACTCCGTGGAGGAGACGAGATTCATGGAGATCCTGGAGAGTGGTATCCGCAGACGTGACGACGGCCACTATGAGATGCCGCTACCTCTGAAGTCTGCAAAGCCAAATCTTCCCTTTAACAAGCCACTTGCTATGAAGAGATGGAAGCAGCTGTCTGGAAGGTTGCGGAAGAACCCCAAATTTTGCGAAGACTACAGAGCATTCATGGATGACGTCATCCAGAATTATGCAGAGAGAGTGCCAGCTGACCGTCTTCAGATACAGGATCGGGTTAATTACATTCCTCATACTGGCGTGTATCACCCTAGAAAGCCCAACAAGATCAGAGTGGTCTTTGATTGCTCTGCTACTTATCAAGGTGTGTCCCTTAATGACATGCTACTTCAAGGTCCAAACACCATGAACAGCCTCCTGGGAGTGCTTTGCAGGTTCCGTAAGGAAGCAGTAGCTGTAGCCGCTGATGTGAAAAGTATGTTCCATCAGTTCTACGCAGCAGCAGAAGACAGAGACCTGTTGAGATTCCTGTGGTGGGAAGATGGAAACCCCGAGAATGCTGTTGTGGAATACCGCATGAAGGTACACTTGTTTGGTGCAGCTAGTTCACCAGGAGTAGCTACGTTCGGTTTGAGAAGAGCTGCAGATGACGGAGAAGAAGAATATGGAGCGCCAGCAGCTAACTACATCAGGACAGATTTCTATGTTGATGACGGCTTGAGATCCGAGCCAGATGTTGCATCGGCGATCCAGCTTCTCAAGAACAGTCAGGCGATCTGTGCAAAAGCAGGTCTAACACTGCATAAGATTGTATCCAATGAAAGGGAAGTGCAAGAGAGTTTCACCAAGAAGGAAGGGCTTACGGACAAAAAGGAGCTTGGGTTAGCTCGAAGTCCATCGACTCTAGAACGAGTTCTCGGAGTCGTTTGGTGCATCAAGAATGACGTCTTCAACTTCAAGATAGAGCTCAAAGAACGGCCTTTCACCAGACGAGGAGTTCTCTCAACAGTGAGTTCATTCTACGATCCTTGTGGCTTCCTTAGCCCCGTTATGTTGAGAGGAAAGCAAATCCTGCAAGAGCTCTGCCGAAGCAAATTGGACTGGGACAGTCCAATACCAGAAGATCTCCGTCCACGCTGGGAAAGATGGCTGCAGGAGGTGCTTGAGTTTGAGAACCTCCAGATACCCAGATGTTACAAGCCACGTGATTTTGGTGAAGTCAAGGCAGTGGAGCTTCACCACTTTTCGGATGCAAGCCAAGAGGGATATGGACAGTGTTCCTACATCCGACTTGTCAACACCCAAGACAAGGTCCACTGTTCCTTTGTTATCGGGAAGTCCCGAGTAACCCCGCTGAAGCAGGTCAGCATACCAAGGCTCGAGCTAACTGCAGCTACAGTATCAGCCAGAATGAGTGGATTTCTGAACCAGGAGCTCAAGTATGACAGCTTCAAGGAATTCTTCTGGACTGACAGCAAAGTAGTCCTGGGTTACATACAGAATGAAGCCAGAAGATTCCATGTCTATGTAGCCAACAGGATTCAGATGATCCGAGACCTGACAGATCCTGATATGTGGCGCTACGTAGACACATCCGAGAATCCAGCAGACGACGCTTCAAGAGGATTGTCTGCTAAGCAGCTTACCCAAGACAGCCGTTGGCTGAGAGGACCAGAATTTCTCTGGACGGATGGTATATTTGAAGTCAACCCTACAAGGCCGCCCGTCCAGCTGGAAGAAAGCGATCCAGAGTTAAAGCGTGCTACTGCCCTTAAAACAGGAGCAAGAGATGAGAAGGAAAGTCACTTCGAAACTAGCCGTCTGGATAGCTTTTCCAACTGGCACAGGGCAAAGAAGGCAGTAGCCAGATGTATTCAACTCAAAGGCAAGCTGCAGAGCAAGGCTGTGAAAATCTCGAGCTCATCTCCAGATGCTGAAAGGCCGTCCTTCAAGGAGTCGCTTTCTCTAGGCGAACTGCAGAGTGCTGAAAGGGTGATCCTTAAAAGTGTACAAGCAGAACATTTCCTGGAGGAAATGCAGGCTCTGAGGAATCTGGAAGCTACAGGAGAGGTCACCGACAGACAAGCAACCAGGGTCAGGAATGCTGAACTCAAGAAGACGAGCTGTCTCTATAGACTTGATCCTTTTCTCGACGAAGATGGAATTATCAGAGTTGGTGGCCGTATAGACAGGGCAAATATTTCCAGAGAGATCAGACACCCAATCATCCTGCCCCGAAAATGCCATGTTACCAGACTGCTGATCGATGATTGCCACAGTAGAGTCAATCACATGGGCCGTGGCTTAACCCACAACGAGCTTCGCCAAAGAGGTTACTGGGTGATAGGAGGTTCCTCTGCAGTTTCACAGTTCATCTCACAGTGTGTAACATGCAGAAAACTACGAGGGCCTCTCCTGCAGCAGAAGATGTCGGAGCTACCGAGGGAGAGAGTTGAACCTTCTGCCCCCTTTACCTACTGTGCAGTCGACTACTTCGGTCCATTCCTTTTAAAGGAAAAGAGAAGCGAGGTGAAGAGGTATGGTGTCCTTTTCACATGTATGTCTTCCAGAAGCATCCATCTTGAGACTGCGAACAGCCTTTCCAGCTCTTCCTTCATCAATGCCTTGAGGAGGTTCATGAATCGAAGAGGAACTGTTCGACAGCTCCGTTCAGATCAAGGCACAACATTCATTGGGGCCAGAAACGAGTTGAAACAAGCTCTACAAGAAATGGACCAGAAGCATGTGCAAGAATACCTTCTAGAGAATGGTGTTGAGTGGATACCATTCAAATTCAACGTTCCACATTCCTCGCACATGGGCGGTGTCTGGGAGAGGCAGATTCAGACGGTGAGAAGGGCCTTGGACACCTTACTTGCTAAGGCAGGCAGCCAGCTTGACGACGAATCTTTTCGAACTTTTATGACAGAGGCAGAATGTATCGTCAACTCTCGACCTCTCACCACTAATAACCTGAGTGACGCCGAAGCACCAGAACCTCTGTGCCCACTCCATCTTCTGACAATGAAGCCGAAAGTAATCTTACCACCACCTGGAAACTTCCAGGGCGAAGACAAGTACTCTAGAAAGTGGTGGCGACGTGTGCAGTATCTAGCCAATGAATTCTGGCTACGCTGGCGCCGAGAGTACCTCCAGCAGTTACAGCCCCGCCAGAAGTGGACGCGAACGCAGAGAGACTTGGCCACCGGCGATGTAGTCATCGCGAAGGAGACTGAAGATGTTCGCCTCCAGTGGCCTCTGGCAAGGGTAGCAGAAGTTTTTCCTAGTCAAGACGGACGCGTTAGAAAGGTAAAGCTCCTCATGGCTGATGGAGCTCTGGACAGTAATGGTAAACGTCTGAAGAAACCTTGTTACCTTGATAGACCCGTCCACAAACTCGTGTTACTACTGCCGGTAGAGTCTTAGGAATAATTAGTTCTGTTGTTAATAACAGAGATGTAAAACTAATCGTGACCTGTCTTTTTCTTTCCATTTCTCTTTCTTTCTCAATCACTTTCTCACTTTCTCATTCATTCCCTCTTTCTAGATTTCTACCTTTATCTTAGTTTCATGACCTTTACGTTTCTTGTTGTTTTATCCTATATTTGCAAACAAGTTTTGTCATTATCATGCAGAAGACAGTTGGGATTCCCCCTCAAGGAGCCTTTATCTTATTGTTGTAAAATATATTTCTGATGTCAGGAGTGTCTTCATTTAATATTTTTACTCATTTACATATGATTATGTAGTCATGTGGTTATCAACAGAAGGAGTTGATTAAGTATACTTTATATACATGTATGTTTAACTTTGTGTATTACACTAATTGTGATTGTTTACCAATCAAGCAGTATTTGGAGCATTGATGGGTAAAGTTGATTTCTCTTAATGTTCATGAATGTTACATGAAAGATCGTTAGAGGTTAATGTTGTTCCTTGGTAGTAATAGTAGTGCAGTATGTCTATCTATGTTTTAGCGTAGTCTTAGATTTGGATATTAAAAGTTATTTTAGTAAATGTTACTAACATTTAAAGGAGCCATGTCACTACATCAGGATGTAGTGAAGAAATGTGCATTTCTTATATAGTTTGAAGAGTCTTATTATGAGACTACCAGTGTCTTAATATGCCTACCAGCATATCTTGGGGGCTACTGTTTACTTTAAGATTATACTATGAGTCACAGAGACAGGAAGTTCTTTGTTCTTCTCCACCTATGTTCTGGGAGAAGCAAAGCCCAGTCATTCTGAATGTCGAAGTGATGCAGTAAGGTCCGAGTTACATAACATTGCAGCAGAAAGTTTTTAGTTATTTTGTGGAACAAACTACAGGCCCAATTCGGTAAGAATACGATATCTATTTCTATATATGTTATTTGATATATACTAGAATGCTAGGATGTATCTTAATATAATCTCAGTTGAGTTTGGTAGAATTTTATAGGAGTTTCGTAAAGATGATGTTAGATGTTGTACCTAGCTTTTAGGAGTAGACAAAGAGATGAGTGTGTATAATGTATAGTGTAGAAAGCCGAGTTCTTTGTCTTTGTCAGCAGAAGTTACAGTACATTTAAGTGTTTTAAAGTAGCAAAGATTCTGCTACTATGTAGATGATAACTTGTTTATTATATATATAGTTCATGTCGAATTTAGAGCAAAACTAAGTGTTTGGGAAAGAAACAATTTTCTTTGTTAGTTATTTAGCACAGGAACTTAAGTGACGAACCGCATCTAAATGCGGCCCTGTTCACACTCATGTACGTTTGCTTGTGTGTACTGTTTAATAGTTTACTGCATAGTTTCAATGCAGGGTGTGTTCACATAGATATTTAATCCAGTTTAACTTTAATCTTGTGTCATATATTAATGTGTTGTAATCAGTATCTTTAATTTAGCTATAGGGTTTTTATATGCTTACATGCTGAAACATTTATTCATTATTTGTTTGTTTGTTTATTATCATTACAGATTGTTATCTGAAGGTTGTACCGAAGATATGAAAGCGAAGTTACGAGTTGCTGAATAAAACAGAAGTTGGTTGGACTTTAGCAAATTGTTTCCAGTGTTAATTTTCATCGGTGTGCCTTGTGAATAACAACAGTTGGATTTATTGTTAGACGAAACTCCTTCATATAAAGATTTATGAAGGCAGCCACAATGATTATAATTATGGCAATGAGAAAAACAAATGTCCTCTTATTTTCAAACCTCGTTTTAACTTCAACTTGAAAGAGCTATAATTTGTCATTACAGAGGGCGCTATACGTATTTGCTGCTCGAAGGTGGCTCAAAGGCCAGGATTTGTTGAGGCAGTACATTACATACAGCTTCCTGGTTTCAATAACAATTAATCCAATAAATGACTACGAACTAAAATTAATTCAGATTTTTAAAAAGTAGATGTATATTGATTATTGAAAGCATTATTTCCAAAGATAATTCTAATTCTTATTATATTCATCATTTCTAATTCGATAAGGCATCAATTTCAGGCTACACTTTATTATTCTAACTTGACAAAAAGATTGCCCATGGATTTTTGAACTACTGACCGCATGATCCTTTTCAACGAATCATCACCGGTGGTGGCAAGGGGGGGGGGGAGTGTGGTATTAATTCCCCCTCCCGTCGAATACTAATTACCGTTACCCCTTTCCATGTAGCAATATTTTTCTTGCCGTCATGCAGTTGAGTCAGTTCCCCATTCCCTCCCTTTTATGATTCCTACTATGCCAACACTACTGAATTTATGTATGACATGAATATGATGGGTGTGCTGTAGAACCCCTCATGATCTAAACTATCTTCGTGAATTTTTCAGGAAGAATTTTGATCATTTGAGTAGTAGGCGTATGATCATTAAAAATACTTGTTTTCCTTATCTTGGTGTCTTCCCTAACAGTAACACAGGTCATCATGGGTTTAGCATCGGTTGCTATAGGGACCAAAATAGACGTTTACTCACCCCGTAAACTTTATACCTTTTAATAGAAATGTATCAACCATGGTGGATTCAAATATCATAACGTCCAATGAAAATAATAGATTCATCATTCACCTCCCCGCGGTCCTCTAACTTTACCCCCTACCAAGATTTAAATGATACGGGACTCTTTCTCCTATTCATTACTCGTGCATGAAATAGCGTCGTCTGCTTCAAAACGGACACAAAGAAGGCTATTTTACCTCCAGTGGAAAACAGAAATCATTTGATAATAATAATAATACCATATCAATCGATTGCTGCTATTGTAATAGTTACGCGGGGGTCCGGATCTTGTTGGGTAAGTTTGGTCGCACCGCCACGCGACCCGACTCCCGTAATTTGAATAGAACAATGTGGCACGCTTCCAGCGCAGCTGCGAGCATACGCCGTTCGTGTGTTCGTGTCATTACTTCGTGCCGCCCATTTTTCTCCTTCTGTGTTATGTTGTCGCCATGGTGTTTCCTCCTGTATTTGATGGTTATTACAGTAGAGGTTAATTATTGCCAGAAGCTCATGTGGTTCTATTGTCTATCTGTTTTTCTCATGCCAGTAATATATCACTCGCGGTTTATATCGACGTGCCTTGAAAAATAAAGTTTATTTTTCATGAGTATACCCCATAGGCAGGGCCCCCTTTGTAGCCCTAACCCCTTAGCTAAACCTCCTTAAAGATGATGATTGATATTCGAACAATCAGGGTTTTTTTAATATCATTTAAGAAAAAGGACAAACAGAATTACAAAGATACAAGATTTGTAGGCTAGAAAAGGATAACACCCTGTGCATCAGATCGATTTCATTTTTAAATATTGACCTTAATATAGTCTATAAAGCTGTAGTCTGGTTAATTTTAAAACGATTTGTCCCTGTGCTATATCTCATGGCAACTGAAGAGGGTTGATGGGGCTTGAGTGGCTCCACCCCGGTAGACTGACGCCCATATAATTGGGCACTTTAGTTTTGCTTATATACATAATGTAGATTCAAAGACAGATTCTGAAGCACCCCTGTTTTTTTCCTTCAAATTGTTCCGCACTTTTTAGAGTACAACTCCAAGATATTTCATAAAACCTGTTAATGGTATCTCATTCAACTCAACTCCAATCATTAGTCCAAATTTGAAGTACAATACTTAAGATGATATTTCTAGGTATATGATAGCCCCCCCCCCCCATACACACCTTTTGGTGTCTTCATTATATATTTCCAGTAAATCAACACTACGCAAGAAGTGATGAATAAACCAATAGATTGGCACTTATGAATTCTTATTGGCCTATATTATGATATAATCCTCCGACACATACTTGAAGCATTATCTCAAAGGAAATATTATTGTAGAATGTCGAATTTATTAACACTTACAAATCACGTCAATTTTATCTCTTTATCTATTCATCTTTCCATTTATATTTTTTCAGCCATATTTCATTTGAACGTCGTTTAAGGCCTGCACATTGAAACCACCTTCGATCAGACATACCTTTATTTTTATTCAATATTATTCAATCCCAAGTTCTCTTTCGTTTTTGCAGCTTTACAAGCAACGCGTGGCAAGCGCGAGCTGCTTACACAATCGCACAATCATTTTCTGTCACTTTATCTTCTTTCAATTCTCTCTCTCTCTCTCTCTCTCTGTCTTTTCCCCTCTTCTTTTCTTCATCTGTCTCGCACGCTGACTCCGTTCGCGTGCTTAGTTATGTTTGCCACCCACTCCCTAACCCCTGGTATTGTATTCAAATACAATCTTTGATCAATGGAAGGGCTACGTAGAGACCCCAACCCTTCACGCAAACAAACAATATAATCTGGACCGAAATTCTTTTCATCAGCCATATTTTTCACCCCCTCTGTATATCTCTTTCCACCTTTTTTTTTTAGGGTCGTGCAGCTGCAAGCTTTGCACAATAATCTATAAAGCTTTCATGGCTGCGCGTGCATGGTATGAACATAATTTGCAGAACAATAAGTGGGGTGGGTGATTTTTTTTTCTTCTTCTTAAAGTTCCGATATTTAACAAAAATCTCTTTTATGAGAGCGAAAATAAACGCGTCATGCGTGTGTCCAATTCATTTTAAGGATAAAAGCGGTGGGGCACAGCGAGGTTAGTCGAATAACATTTATAAAAAAAACATACAATAACAGAAAAGCAGCATTCCTTTAATAGGGATTAAGTAGATAAATGAGAAGGTAGAGTATGTTCAGTCGTTCTGTCTACTTTTTCACAATTAATCATAATTCGGTTTATGGCACTGTACGCACCGAACTCAATATTATAAGTACATGTTATAAGAAAACTATTTTTCATGTTCGATAACCATCCAGACTTGACATTCTTTTGTACATTTTCAGTATTTGTGTATAATTTCAAACAAAATAAATTCATCTCACACTGTCGAACTATATCAAAGACTGCGGTACTAGTTGACAGTGTCCCTTTA